TATATATATATATATATATATATATATATATATATGTGTATATATAAATATCTAACGATTTCTTCATGAAAAAAAGGAATGATCGTTGTTTGAGATTCTCAGCTGTCTTACCATGGGAAATTATTGATTCTTCTTCTTCTCTTTGTAGAAACGTTTGGGATTCTAACGAGATACGAAAGTCTGAAGAAGAGACTCTTCCCGTAGAGTGGGTCGAGGACAAAATTGTTTAGAGAGCAGTAGTCGTCTTCGTGAGTTTCGTTCCGAATACGTATAACGATCGGTTTGAGGGTTCTTAATTGGCTGGAATCCTTTATTTTTCTCTGTATTTGAAGTAGATCGTTCGTATATATCTGACATATACTCTACTTCTGTCTCGATCTAGCACGTTTTTAAAGTTACATCTGCTATGAAATGATATTGTAAAAAAACTCTCTTTAAGAAAAGAAAATAAAAAGTAACAACATTATATGTATATAAAGTATTACATAAATCATAATATCGCGATTAAGAAAAGTGGATAATTATAAGATGGACTAGTGATAAAAGTAGTGATTTCGGACCATTAGATAGATCCATCGATCTTACTTTTAAACTTACAACAACATTTCTTGAATTCGATCGAAAGTTCCAGCTTACACATAATAAAATTAAAGAGCCCTTTCCTTTTCATAAATATGCATAAGGGACATACAGACGCGTATACACGGGAGTATCGTGTATGGCAAGAAGGAGTAAGGTACTGAAAGGAAAGAATCGAGCGAATATCGCGGGAGGCGGTTGGTAGGCGCTAGTCGGAGGCAAAAGGTACGAACGAAAAAGAAGAGGATAAGAATAAGGCGAGAGGAAGAGAGACGGAAGATAATAAAGCAGGAGTCCGCAAGGAATGATTTAGTGGTAGCCGCTCGAATAACTTTCCCGCCAACACTGTTGCCACCTTGAAGAAGGCTCTACCTTCTTCTTCTTCTTCTTCTTCTTCTTCTTCGTTGGTTCGGTCCCAGCCTCCGATACACGCCGGTGCTCGAGAAAGGAAGCTCCGGGGAGAAGGTAGAGGAGGAAAGGCGGTGCCAGAAGAAGAGAAATTTGTTGGTTCGTGCACGAGACCTCCTCCCGAAGGAGAAGGAGTATTCTCTTTCTCTCTCTCTCTTTATTTTTCTTGGTCGAACAAGAAAGAGAGAAAAAAAAGATCTTAGACGAAGAGTAAGGACCGTAGTGCCGGAGAAGAAGAAGAAGAAGAAGAAGAAGAAGAAGAAGAAGAAGAAGAAGAAGGAAGAGGAAGAGAAAAAGAAAGAGATTTCGGTCTCCTCTTTCCACCCAAACAATCATGCTAATGAATTACTGCCGAGCAGTATCGGTGCTGATCTGGCCAGCTAATTCGAAGCCGCTTCCAGGGGCTCCACCACACCGAGACCACGCTGCGTTTTTTTCCCGTTGAAAAATCTTTTATTCTCTCTCTCTCTTTTAGTTAGTTTTATCTTTCTATTCGAATTCGATCCATTTAGATCCTTGTCTATTTTCTTCCAATATTATCGCTTTCAAAAAAGGGATCAAGGAAAGAATAATTATTGTTTGTATTTTACATTCACTTGTATTTTTTTTTAAATTATTTCAAATTCAGTTTCGACATTTATTCTAATATCGTTTACCCTCTATTCGTGTCAATTTTGCATCACCGGATCTACAAGTTCGAAAGGCACACGTTCACGAATACATACAAATTCGATTTTGAATATCACACATACATATGTGTATATATCGCATACCTTTACGCATGATCACAGGGGTATATTAAATCGCGAGCAATCTTACCTGCTATATCCCAGTGAACATGGACCACGTGACGCATTGTTTAAATGGTTTTGTTTTCGGCCGACCTTGCGAGGAATATCGATTTCAATCGGCGTGTACGCGGAATACAATCCGCGCCGTGGATCTCTCTCCTTCTACTTCTACCTTTTTACCCTTTCTCCCTTTTATCTTAAAGCCCAACTCACAACGATTTCATTCGACTTGAATTCGGGATCTGTGAGAAGACATATACTTTTTTTTTTCTTTTTTCTTTTTCATTTCTTTTCTTTTCTTTCTTCTTCATGGGTTAAATCCTTTTGCATTCTTACGAGATATACACTTCGAGAAATATTTCTTGTCTTTAAAAATCAACATACTCGCAAAGCACTCTACGATTAACTTTAATCTTACGATCATTTGTAAATGTTACAATGTAACTTCAGTTAATTTTCTATACTATTGTCACGGTATGATTTAAAAATCAAACATCATTGTTAACTATATTGTTCGATCATTTAAATAAAAATTAAAAGTATTTTACAATGAAAATGAAATTGAATTTAATTCGCAAAACTATCGTATCTTTCATTAGGAAAAAACAAGAAGATCATGAATAAGAAGAAGAAGGAGAAGAAAAAAAAAAGAATAAAAGAAGAAAAATGGCAAGGAGGATATCTGGGTAGAAAAGGGAGAACAAGAAGGGGAGTCTCGCGCGTCGTCCTTTAAGCGAGAGAGGCGCGAGCATGCTGAGAACCTTCCAAGGCATCGTATTTTATAACCGGTGTAGACAGCCACCGCACGTACGGCCGATTCTCTCCTTAGTTCTGCCTCTGCACTACAACACGAGGACCCTTCCTCGTGGTCCTGACCAAACGCTACACTCTCTTCGACAAGAGAACGATCCTCGACCACCCTAATCGATCTCGAATACCATGCCAATTTTATAACTCTTATTTCCCTTTAACTTCGATCACACATTTTAGAAAATCACTAGAGTCATATTATCAACCATTATCACAACTATCCGACATAATTATTAAAGTTTTTATATTCGCTAAGGTTGTGCAATAATAATTTTTCTCAACTGGTTAAT